GAAGCACTGTTTGGCCATTGAAACACCTGTTGACTCAGTAAAAACAGATGCTTTCTCTCACAAGCAGTAAGACGCTCACAAGCAAGATTGCATTGATCCCTCACAAATTCCACGAAGATCCGGTCGTCGCACGTTTTCCGTCATGAAGGTTTCCCATCAACATGCAGTTCCCACAGAGTGCACAGACTCACTATAAAGACAAGCAACCACACTCAACAAACACACAGCCACAAACCCCCTTGTTGCATGCCTTGCAACATTCACTCCTACACCTCATCAGCAAGCTAGGAAACCAAAAATGGCAACAGTTGAAAGGGAGTTAGAAATAAGAGCATATAAAAGCAGTGCAAACAGCAACACAAAAGCTCACCTTTCCATCCTCTTCCTCTGGAATGAAATTCGCATCATCAATCTCGTCCCCATTGTCGTCAAACTGAACCTCGTCTTGATCAACCAACAAGTCAATAACGTTGCCGTCCTTGTCCAGGTCAAAGCCAAAGAGATTGCCCGTCTCCAATCGAGCCGCCACATCCTCCGCACTCTCCTCCTGGAGAACCGCATAACCACCACCAAGATGCGGAATTGCATCGGCGTGCCACCACTGGTACTTCATCGTCAGAATATCATCCACAATATTGCGGTAGCGAGCACCACCGCGACGTTCCACGAATGTACCGTCCTTCACCATTGCCGCCTTATTCTCTTGCGCTCGAATACCCTTCTGGTCGCCCAGGCCTTGGACGACAGCGCCTCGAGCCAGGTGAATTGCCATCATTGAGTCTTCGAATCGATCCATATCCTGGACGATGCGTTCGCTGGGCGGTGCGCCTTGGAGGACACGATGGTACGCTTCTTGCCCACGCTTTGGTGTCGAGATGGTGAACTTGGTTGGGTCGTCATCGTCCAAATGGCTCGTAATGATGATATGACGATTCACTGAATCATTCACGTCCTTGTTGAGAGACGTATCCCAAGCGTTGGCCTCTGGACTGTTGCCTGACGGGAACTTGTCAAGACGATTGCTGGTGAGGTTCAATCCAACAGGAAGAAGCCAGTGCGCAAGGTAGCCGTGTTCGTCCATCCACTCGTAGCATTCTTTGGACGTCATCTGGAACAGCGCATCGTGATAGAAATACCAGCCGTGAAAGTTTGGTCGGTGCTTGTGAAAGAAGCGCTTGGATTCCTTGTACATGTGCTTGACGACCTCTGTGACACATCCCGTCGAATTCAGAGTAGTGGATCGTTGAATGAAGTCTCGCCAATCCTCACCATAACGGGACTTGTAGGGATTTGCACGCTTGCGTAGTCAGTTGTGTGTGGGACACATTCGAAGCCTTCCGACATGCGGCACGCCAACCTTTGAGAGTCTTGAGATTTCTCGCAACAAACGGGATCATAAAGTACCACCACCTTCGTCCACCATGCGTATCTTCCGTCATTCCCGCAGCTCGAAGTTTCGGCTTCTGCAAAGTCACGAACAGTGAAGATGCCGTGTTCGTTGAGCTTTTCGATCTTTGCCTTTCCACAGTATGGAATCATTCCTTTTACGAGGTTGTCCGACATGTAGAGTTTCCCCACTTCCCGTGTCGTAGCCAACCAACCTTGCGTCTTGGCTGGACCATCCCGCATCTTCTTGATCCGGACAATCTCAATTTTGACAAGCTCGCGGTATTTCTCAAGGAGATGATGTTCCTGCTAGTGTAATCAAACGGATCCAACACCCATCCCTCCTGCGTTCGACAACACCATCAGCGTTGCGGTAAGAGACCATGCACAGCCAAGTCCAAGGCGGACCTCATCCTCGTACTTGACGTTCAGCAGTAAGCAGGAACAGCATGATTGTAGCTTCCGTTGGGATCTGGTTTCCCCTCGTCGTTTCTTGCGAACTGGACAACAGTTTTCCGACCAGCTTGCGCATGAACCGACCCAATCTTGCCTTGCGTGCATCTCATCCCAGACGCACAATCATCGACTTAAAATCCCATCCTGCGGCTTTGAGTTTCTCAATATCAAAGCAGGGCGGAAGTGAAACTCATAGCCAGAACGGACGCACGAGAGGAATCTCAGGCTGTTGTTCCGAACTGGAACTCGCACTGCCTTCGTCGTTCGCACTGACTTCATCAGGAGGGGGAGTCGGAGGGCGGTTGACTGGAAATCGAGCTGGAAGAATCAGCCTTGTAAGAGGAACCAGACGATTCGTCACTGATCCAGCCGTCCAAGCCCACACAACTTGTCGCTGAGGTAGTTCCTCTGGAGGATCCGTCAGCGCTGCTTCACGAAGCGGTCAGGAACCTCAACATCATGTCCCATGCGAAGTAACAGTTGTGTAGCCCAACCATGACGACGAAGTGCCCAAGGGGAGTTCACGTCCCTGTTGCCTTGCTTCCGCTTGCGAATTGGCACCACCCTGTGCTTGAGTCGTTTCTTCAAGCCATCGACGGCAGACCTGGAATAAGGGACCAAGCCTCTTTCAATTCGAAGACGATTCAAATGTTGCATCGCCATTGTCACGCTCATGCTCTTCCGTTCAATGCAGTTGGCAATGAAGACGGCATCAAACGAGTCGTTGGGGATGATGACGGGCTTGAGTCCAGCATGAACCCGCTGGCCAGTGTACACAATGTGCTGCTCGCAGCAGTGATGCAAGTCTGTGAAGACGTCAACATACTTGGTCCGGTTGCTTTCTTCGTACAAGTCTCTGCGGATCTTGACTTGCGTGCCGTTGATGCCAGTCCATGGAGTGTCTTTCGTGTCCTCGTGGAATGCATACTTGTAAGCATAAAGATATGCAATGGCCATCTTCTTCGCCCTCTCCTCCGGCAAAATCTGCGCCAAAGCAGCCTTGACCTTCTGCTCATCCGGAATGTAATCCATGTCGTCGTCATCGTCATGTTGATCAGGATCCGAGTCGTCTTCTTCCATTGAGTCTTCGTCAGGCTTGAGGCGATCCGCCAATGACCGGAGGGGCTCCTCCTCATCCGAGGAAACATCTGCAAGACGAGCATAATGAGAACGACGGGTTGGACTCATCCCCAAAGCTTCAGCCACTTCACTCGCACGCTTGACACGCTTTGCTATTGCTTCATCATGAGGACTCGGAGGAGTGACAGTCTGTTGAGCCGGCTTCTTCCTCTTCTTCTTCTTGGCACTCAATCTCCTGCCCTTGCGGCGCTTTGGGGCAACCGGATTGGGATTCGGCATGGTGGAAGGATCAGTCAACCAAGGATGGAGCGTGAAGAATTCCAAAGAATTCAGCAAGGGTGAACCAAACGAAGAATCCGACAAGGAAAAGGAGCGCGGAGAAGAGAGCTTGGATCGACTGAACGTTGGCTCGGTGGATGGACGGATAGTCAGTGATGGAGCGAGCGTGGATCAGAAGGAGCCTTGTAAGATAACAGCGATAATGAGCCAGTAGCCCCCGCAAAGTGAAGAAGCAAAATCCCAATGAAATGACGGCAGGCGGAACGGCCGATCCCCATGGTCGACCGGACCGAAAGAAAGATAATGAAGAAGAAGAGCCATTTCGTTCGTTCGATTGAAGATTCGTGCAGAGGTTTGCTGTTTCGATAGTCAAAATAATGAGATGCTGAAGAATGAGGAATGAAGACGCCTCCGACTGATCGATTCGGATGCGATCTTTGTCAGTTGGATGCAGGAGGTTTGTCCTCTCTCACTGAATCTTGCGGCAACCAACATGGACACCAAGGGAAACCCATGGTCATCAAATATCGATCCCATCTGATAAAGAGGCAAGCCATCATTGTGGAATTTCATTCGGAATGGATCAGACACCATTCAACTGGTCGTACATCTGTTGTGAGAGGACTTCACGGAACGAGTGGATGTCATCAACATGGGCTTGAATGGTTGCTGAACGTGCACACATGGTCTGAAAAGAGATGCCCATGGTCGCGAAACTTGTTGTGCGATTGATTTTGGGTGCAACGGCTAAATCCAAATGAAGAAAGAGGTTCTGTGACTGGAGAGCCAGCCATCTAGTTTAAAACTAACCTCACTTTTTCAGCCTCACATTTTCGAAATTCCTTGGAAAATCAGCGATTTGACCCATCCAGGTGGTTGTGCAAACTCTGTGAGATGAGGAAGTCATCAATCCAGCAAAAACGTTTCGTCAGTCTACAGCTAATACCTATGTGCATGGACTGACGAAACGTTTTTGCCCATTTGGAGCTTCCACTTTCTCATAAACGTTGTACAAGCTTGGATTCCGTACTGAAGCATCAGTACGGTATGGGAAAGGACGACGACAAGGATGAGAAAGACAAGAAGCAAGGAAGCCGGAGCAAGGATCCTTCCGGCATACCGGTACGGTACGGTACGGTACGGTACGAATGACAAGAAGAGGTAGACCAATGATGGCCCGCATGACTTACCGTAGGCTTGAAAGTAGCGGTGCTTTGTTCATTTATTTGATTGAACAATTGAAATCGACTAGGAGCAACCTCCAACTCAGCTCAGTTGTTGCCGCTCCAGCTTGGAATCCTCCACTGCAGTAAATAGAGTGTTGTGGATGGAGTTGGAGCTACTCAGTCGCTCTTGCCTGGTGCTTCAGGAGCCGCTTTGAATGCTCTCAGCTTCCTAGGTCTCATTTGTGGTGTCATTTTTCTGTGGGGCAAGGTTGGTCGGTCTTGAGGTTCGATGAGACACAAAGACACCGTTTTAGCGGGAAGTCCAATGCAACGTGTGCCCTGGTGCCCTCAGATACCAAGAGCCAGCGTGCTACCTGGTACTCTCCTAGTACCAGTAGTAGCTAGCTAGCTAGTGTGCTGCATCTCCAAACCTCGTATAAAATATTATTATTATTCGTCGTTCGGAAAGATGAAAAGGAAAACCAGAAACACCAGTGGCCTTCGACATGGGGAGGTAGTGCTTGCAATGGTGTTCTGTTTCAGCTCTCAAGCTGGCAGCATACTGGGCATGACCATGACGAATGTGACCGGCGGAGCCATTTGGCAACCATCACATTATTTGTCAATCATAGCATGATGGTGGGCCTTATCTCTTGTGAAACTCTGATTCTGTTGCCTCTCTTGATAAGCCCTTCCCTGGCAGAAAGTCTTGGTGGAGAAAAGGAGGCATTTGAGCTTTCTCCTTTTATCCCGAGCAGTGCTTCCTACAGACAGGACGTTTGTGGTCGCTTCAATCAATTTCGATCCGGTGAAATTGAATTAAAGAATGCTCTTTCGGGGTTGGCCTTACGGCCGATCATAAACCCATACCATGGTTTCTTCCACTACTCCCGAGAGACGGGGATCAATTCCACTTATGCTGGGCTCATTGGTGACCTCATGGATGTCCTTGCTTCCCGAGCAAACTTCACTTGGCGAGACTCTTTTGCCGTCATAAGGCTTCCCCACGATGACCTGTCCTCGATATCTTGGACAGATTATCTGGTATGGTCTGTGGAGCATTTTGATATCTCTCTTGCAAAGTGGGACCATACGGTCACCAGGATGGGAAAGGGGGTGGCCTTTGTTGAGCCCTGGTAGGTAACTACGTCCGTAGTTGGGATGAATCTTTTGCAGTCGTGTCTCTCATGTTGGCTGCTGTACGTGCTCATCGAATGCAGGCATGACGGGAGTTTGATACTCATTGACCGGCGTCCCATGCCACGTGAAGTCAACTCAATTGTATTAACCAACTGGCTCCTGCCCTTTGACTCTTTGGTTTGGGTTCTCATCATTACAACCGTCTTTGCTTCTGCGCTTGTATATCAGCTGCTGGAGTACATGAATGATGAACGGGAGGAACGAACCATGTTTCAGTGGTTTTCCGACAACTTGGTAAGTTAGCATGGTCTTCGCTACGCAGGTTTGATCAAAGATTGTGTTTGACATGCATCCCTTGGCAGCAACGCTTACATCCATTATTTGTGCTTGTTCCAATCGCTGCCAGTACCTGTCATCCTTAAACTTTTCACAAAACTTTGAGTATGCACCGAACAGTCTTGCTGGGAGAATATTCGGTGTCAGCATGAGCATATGGGCACTCGTGATCACGGCAACCTACACAGCAAACCTGGCATCTCTCTTGGTGCAACAAAACACACAGGTGCACGTGGTGGACTCTATTGAGAAAGCGATTGTGGCCAAGTGGCCAGTCTGCACTTTTGCAGGCTCCAATGCTGACCAAGTCATACAGAGGAGATATGAACAGGCCATCCGAATTCCCATGGCAACTGAACTCCAGATGTTCCAAGCTTTGAGAAAAGGTGAATGTGGTCTTGCAGTAGTCTCGAAAGACAACTGGCTAACATATGCCAGCAATCAACTCTACAACCCTGAATGTGCACTGGAGTGGGTTGGGAGAGAAATCATGACAATCCAATCGGGATTTGCTGTCAAAGCTGACTCGGGCAACCTCTGCTCTAGCTTGATTCGAGATGTCTTCAATTTCCATCTTGCAGAAATCTCTGATGAAGGCATACTGGATGAGCTGTGGAGAAAACACAGGGCAGTCATAGAGACTGTGAACTGCCATGACCAACTATCCCCTGATGACGGCTTGAGTGAACGGCGTGTTCTCTTGTCGGCCCCATCATTTGCAAACAATCCAAAACGGTCTAAAGCACGTTTCCTAAAGGGAGGGGGGTCCGCAACCACGGCTTCAGCGTCGGACTCAACAGGGACAACCAATGATAAGGCCAACTCGTCGCTAACGGTTGAAAGCTTGCTTGGCACATTTGTCCTGCATTGGTCAACCATGGCGGTCGCCATCCTGGTCAGTGCCTTGTCTCTTCTTGTAGAGAAATCGAGAAAGACTAAACCACAAGCAGTGGACTACACGTTAGAGAGAGTAACGTACAGAGGAAACGGCCCTATCATTGGTATGCCGCCGAGGATGAATACATTTGTCATGCGCAAGACGGATAATGTCAAGAAGAGCTCTGGAAGCGGCAAAGAAGAGCAGCATCCTGCTGTGAATAACCAGGCCACGACTTTGGGACGGAATTTGCATGGATCATCATCCTCTGGGGAAGGACATGACAACCATCTGGGTGAGCTGCAATGGCGCAGGGATATGGAGTGCAAGCTGGATCGATTGTTGACACTGGAGAGCAAACTGGAAAGACTACTGACACTTGCGGAAGGACGGAGCAAGCTGCACGATGTTGTCAACGATGAACTTGACGACGAATGGGTCGACGAACAAGCTGTCACGTGGACGTGATCAAGAACCACAAGTCCCTCCGGATGTCAAGCAAAGAGGACCCTGCCAAGCTACATGTAGGGATCATACGTACGTGTACTGATACTTATAGATTATAAGGTACTAGAAGAGTACTAGGTGTTGTGCTTTGAGCGCATCCGTTGATACACGGCAAAATTAGCTTCCCTTCTGCGCTAAGAGGCGTGTCTTCAATGGAACCCTTCTCCCAACACGCAACAGATCTTCCGGTAAAGCACCACCAAGGACGACGGCGACATTGTTTGTTTGGCAATCAGACATCGGGACCGAATCGAAAGGGTGCTCTAAATTCAAATCGAGGAGCTTCTCGGCGAGCTGGAAGCATGCCAATGGGCATGTTGCAACAGATGCAACCTTGTCCTTGCATGCACCCACAACCACAGTACACCACTCCGCACCCATGGCACGTTGCTTTTGGTGGAGAGCATGCTGCACAGAATGAATGGCCATGTGTGTTGGAATGGAGCCTTTTAAAGCAAAACATGCAGCCAGTCTTGTGACAATTGGAGCATTCTACCAGTCTTCCATGCTCAAAGGAACCATCACATTCTTGACAACGCCCCGTTCCAAATTCGGGATCATTCCGGGGTGCCTGTCTTGCAATCTCAAATCCATCAGGATCTTCGGCACCCTCTTCGCGACGCCCCACCATAGGTTGGCCACCAAAAACAAACGCCCCTACTTGATGAGCTTGACCAGCACGGACCGGCAAAGGCCGGTCTTCATTGCGGGGAGCCCGGCCAAAAACAAATCCACCTTCTTGGTGAGCTTGGCCAACACGGACCACCAAAGGTGGATCTTCATTGCCGGGAGCTCGGCCAAAAACAAATCCGTCTCCTTGACGAACTTGACCAGCAACCGGCAAAGGCGGGTCTTCATCGCGGGGAGCTCGACCAAAAACAAAGCCGCCTCCTTGAGGAGCTTGACCAGCATGGACCGGCAAAGGCGCACCTTCATCGCGGGGAGCTCCACCAAAAACAAATCCGCCTCCTTGATGAGCTTGACCAACGCCAACCGGCAATCCAAAAACAAATCTGCCTCCTTGATGAACTTGACCAGCACGGACCGCCAATGGTCGATCTTCATTGCGGGGAATTCTAAATACAAATCGATGCTGAGGAGCTTCTACAAATCGAAATAGAGGAGCTTCTTCAAGTGGGCCAAGGAGCACGTTGCAGGAGATGCAATGGTGTCCTTGCATGCATCCACAGCCACAGTACACCAATCCGCAGCCACGGCACGTTTCTTTTGGTGGTGAGCATTCTACGCAGAATGAATGATCATGTGTGTTGGAATGGAGCTTTTTGTAGCAAAACATGCAGCCAGTCTTGTGACAATCGGAGCATTCTATCACAGTTCCATGTTCAAAGAAACCATCACATTCTTCACAACGGCGCCTTCCAAATTCGCTTTCCACGCAGTCGGCGCACTCAATTTCTCTCGGTTCTTTGTGGGGCGTCTTGTGCTCATAGTCTCGCATCCGTTCCTTGCGAAGTTCCTTTTGATTGTTCATGACTGTGAGATGATCGGTGCAAACGAAAGTTTTGAGGAGAAAATGATCGCACAGCGTTGTTTCGTCAAGGCATTGCTGAATGGATTCGCGGTCCAGGAATCCAAGGACTTGAAAGCACATGATTTCGCTGGTAATACCAGATGCAAGCAGGTTTCCACCTGGGTCTTTGGTTGGCGAAGAGCTCATCTTGATGTCAGTGAGTACAGCGTACAGTAGTAAACAAGCTTCTCTGTTTTGTTTTTGTGAGGATTGGACGAAGCATGTGAGGAGGAAAGGCCGTTACCGCAATAAACTTGAAAGTCCTTTGAAAACCGTTTAACGTGGATTTAAGGCAGCCTCTGGGCTAGTCAAAGCTTTTGTGATGAGAAGACTTTTAAATCCGTGTGATGGCTCGGGTTAAAAGTGGTGACCATGACCCAGAATCTATCACACCAGACACCAACCGCTCAAACAGCACAGGCAACAGGAACAATAGATACTAGTATCACCAGCGTCGCTTGGATACTCCTTCCCGTCTCTCCTAGTAGCTAGCAACTAAGAAAGCCAACCCCAACAAGATGTCCGAAGCCAGAGCACAAGCACCGCCGACGGCGCCACCCGACTTTCCTGCTCCCAAGGTATCGGATGGACGTCGAACTGCAGGTCATGTCCAGGTGCCAGATCCAACCACTGAGGATGCAGGTCCCCTGGAGATGAGTTGGAAGGTGGTCTCTGCTGGCGCCCTTGTCGAACCCAGCCCTACCAAGTTGAGACGAACTTCTAGCATTGCAGGCAATATCTTGGTAGCAGAAACAGGAAATGGCCAACAGGCATTCTGGTTGCAGCGCAAGCTGACAGAAGAAAGCCGCTCCCACAACTATGTGAGAATAGGGTTTCCACTTCAACCTGTTCTATTGGAAGGGGAACAAATGCAGGGGGCGTGGACCGTGACCAAATCGGAAGGTGGCCAATATCCCTTTGAGATGGTCGCGATCAAGGTACAAGCACACACCAATGTGTTCCCCGAGGTAGAAGAAGAAGAGACGGCCAAAAAGGCGGACGAAGCAGGCGAGAAGAATGGGGATGAAAAAGAGGGAGAGGAAAAAGCCAGCAAAATGGCCCGAGAGAAAAATTCCATGAATGAAATATCGGCACTGCAAATGGTCAAAGCTGCTGATCCTGACAGTATTGGAAATGTACTTGGAGCCGAGTGTGTGGTTAGCGATGAAGTCTCTGTTTACATCGTTATGCCCTACTGGTAAGGGAGGGAAATTTGTTCTGCGCCCATCGAGAGGTCACAATGATGGCAACATGCCGCTCACACTCTGCCTTTTCTGGAATCGAATCTCCCAGTAAAGAGGGAAGTCTGTTGGACAAGGTTGGGGCCAGTGGGAAGAATGGAAGACTCGATGAAGTGGAAGCACGAAAGTATTTCGTCAATATTCTCAATGTAAGTGCACGTTTTCTTTCCTCTTTGATTCTGGGGTGGTTCTTATGAAATTTTGGGGATCCAACAGAGTTCTGGTTCAAATTTACATCTGACGGAGTTTGTCACGTTTGTCCTTCTATTATGCAGGGATTGGCCACATTGCAGAAAGTGAATCTTTGTCACCGCAGCCTCACTCTAGAGAATATGTTGATCCGTGGAGACCAATGTCTGATCTCGAGTATGGGTTGGTGCTTGAGGATCCCGACATCGGAGGACGGCAGTGTCAAGCATTTGTTAGAACCCCAGCTTGCTTGTGGAAAGCGACCAGAATATATTGCCCCTGAGGTCTTCCGAAATGAAGCCTTCGATGGATTTGCTGTGGATCTTTGGGCTGCTGGGGTTATGCTTTATCTAATGCTTTTTGGAAATGACATGCTGTTCTCAGCGCCCATCCCAGAAGATCCGAAATTCCAGGAAATTTGTATGCATGGCAATCTAAAGTCAGCCATTGACAAGTTCCAAGCGCTGGTTCCCGAGGAGAAACCTGTAAGCGAGGAAGCAATTGATCTCTTGCAGAGCATGCTGCGTGCTGATCCTGCTGAGCGGTTGACACTGTCACAGATCCAAGATCACCCATGGGTGAAGGCTTCGGTAGCCTCCCCTGAGGCAAAACCGGCTACTTAGACGCTGGTGCAGCCTCCCGGACACCCACCAACTTTTGTTTTTTAAGGAAAAGTAGCAGAATGATTGTATATATTCGTTTTGTTAAGTTTAGTCAACCAGTCCGTTGAAGAAGTTGAGGCACAGAACGATGAGGTCTCAGATACGAGTTTATGCGAATGAATCAACAGGAGTTTGACAGTCCTACCAATTGATTTGGTCTAACACGCCGAGCTCACTGGCGCTTTCATCGAAACCAAGCCGAGTAGCTTTCGGTATTTCGAAAGCTTCTACTTCCAACTGCTCGTCTATGGGTGTTTTCCTGTCCACGTCAAGCTTCGAAGATCTTTTGGTGGTCAGTACTGTCGACAGTCCCAACATCCGCAAGCCACGAACGATGTGAGGATGGGATCAGACAGGCACATGTGTGTCACCTTTTGGGAGACATAGGCCCAAAAACTGATAGCAGAACAGGCAAGAGGACCAATCCGTGAGAAATACCTAGCATCACCATTGCAAAAAAGCAGGTGAAGACAGTCCTGAAGACTACAGATACACTGAATGCCAGGGGCAAGACACCCAGTGACGTAGAGAGACCACCCAGCAGGATAGATGACCCCATGGTTCGAAGGGTTTCTTTGACCTTTTCTTCACGGCTTGCGCCATCAGTTTCGTAGTACGTCAACAATACGTGCAGGAGGAAATCAACAATCAAGCCGATGGAAATGACTAGACAAACATAGGTCACGGCATTGATATGGATCCCAGCCATCTGCAACACCCCTACCGTAGTAGCGAACCAACAACCAAAAGATGAACGTGAGAGTTAGGGGACACCTGCTTGTCTGCACGGCAAATCTATTCCAACGAATTCTCCCCTACCACAAAGGTCCACGTATACGGTTCCAATCAAAGGAAGTATGAAGAGCACTCCAGACCTGAAGAAAAATATTCCAAAGGGTAAGGACAACAGAAGGACCAGCTGTGAAACAATTTTGATGCCAGCACATGGTTGAACTCACCAATGCGGGATAAAGACGAAAGCGACGAAGCACACGGCAACAATTGACGCAACGGTATTTATGATCAACTCATGCTCGGCAATGCTGTAGAACTCCCAAGCAGGATAAAGACCAGAGTAGGTAAGGAACGCTTCTCTCCACCGACCGTGGTTTATTGGCTGCTTTTCTGTAACAGCTCGCTGGCCTTGTAATAGTTCAATGATATCATCAACTTCTTGTACATGCGAGTTCTTGGCCATAATCATGCATCGAGAAGCGACGATGTTGCCTTCTTCGTCAATGACGAGGTTGCCTCCATAGACTTCCTTGAAAACAGGCAAGGTCAGTGCAAAGTCTAGCTTTTCTTGAAAAGTCAAATTTGCCACCGCCTGTTGCAAGTCAGATTCATCGAATGACTCCAAGTCGGATATCCAGCAGCCAGAGGGTTTCTCTCCGAGGGCTGGTAGCTCCGAAAGCTCCTCTATGAACTCAAGCATCTGTTTCTGCACTTCAGAGTCGCTTTGGTCAACATCTCGAAAGGTTATGCTAATGGGCAAAGTTCTCTCGTTGTACTGTTCCAGGGCAAGCATTGCAGATGTTGCATAGGAGCCCGCTGGAAAGAAATCCTTGATGTCAAACTCTTGGGTAAGCATGGATGCGCGGTAACCACATAGCGCAAGGAAAGCCACAGCGATAAGCACAACCACAACCTTTGTAACTGGCCGAAGAAGTACCTCCCCGTACCATGCCATGACACGATCAGAAACATGTCCAGAGGACACCCTGTCGCTTTGCTTGTTGTCGTCTTCTTCAGTGTTGCTTTTGTCACCTGCCCTGAAACAAAGGCAACAGTCCCTCCTCTTGCTACGGACTCGTCGTTCGTCGATAATTAGGATGGCATTGAAAAGAGTAATCTGATAGATATAGTCGATGAAGATTGTCGGGAAAGCGTAAAGGCAAAGCCAAAAGATTGCAGGAACGCTGGACATGAGCCCAAGCATGAAAGCAATCATTGTGGTGATTGTTGTTGCAGATATGCCGATGCCAATAGATGTCATGGCCAGCCGAAGTCGTTCCTCGGGTTTCAGCGCCGGATCGGTTCGCAGGAAAGCTCCCGTGATAATGAACGTGTCATCCAGTCCAACTCCAAACACCACAAAGGGAAGCATCTGCGTCGTACTAGTGAACGGGACACCTGTGCAACCAGCGAACAGAAAAATTGAGCTGGAAGTTCGTTTGGGGCAACCACAAACGGGAGCGTGTAACGTACCAAAGATGAACATTATACCGAAACCTGTGCACAGAGACATGACGATTGTGAATACACTGCCAAGTCCCACGAGGCATCGAGACTCGACCGGGTCTCTCCGTAGGAACACGAACATGGTGAAACACGACATGACCAGAACAACAATCACCAAGAGATCCATGTCTCCTGAAATGGAGCGGCCAAACTCATCTGCAATGGACCGATCTACGAAAAAGTCCAGTTGCAGTTCGCTACCGTATCCGACATCTTTGGCCCATTCCTCTTTTAGGGCAAAGAGACTGTCCAAGATTCGAAGTTCGAGGTCATTAGTGTCTTCACCTCTGTTGGTCATCACAACAAGAACCATGAAGGCGGGAACATAGGTGACGTTACCATACTCATCCTTCTCCAGATTGCCCATGATCACTTCGTGGTCAACTGGTTCTCCTCCTGGATACTCGGAAGCTGACAATGCTCTGATAAGGTCTTGCTCTGAATGAACTTTTTCCTCAAACAGGGCGTAGTCATGATACCACGCCCGCGTCGCAGACAAGATGCGGCACGTGTTTTCTTCTCGAATGACATCAAAGTAAGGTCCACTCTCGCAGTTTTCCTCATAGCCAGATGTGTTTCGCACTGCGTTCATGGCTTGGAAAACCTTTTTCATGGGCTCCATGCCCAGCACATTAGCACCATTGTTGTGCAAAATCACCCGTGCAATTCGATCGGGTTGGGGAAAGCCACTCTCATGCATTGTCCAGTAACGATGCTCCATCGGAGCACTGCCAAAGGGTCCAAAGATTTCAGCCTCATTCACGTTGATTTCAAAGTTGGTCACAAAACCGACCGCCAGGACCGCCAACGATACGGCCGTGATACTGCAGACACATAATATCGGGTTACGAGCAGCGATCATGGACAGAGAAACCACAAAGTGGGCAATCCACCTGTGCAACTTTTCTGTAGCTGCTGTCCATAGCGGGAAAACTGGATTCCTGATAATGACACTGTTATTATCATCATCATCATTCTCAGCTCCATATTCATCGGACGGTGCTTCTGGAGTGCCATGAGTGGAGGTATCCATGGTTTCGTTTAGCTTCATCTCCAAGCTCAGCTCTACCGCCTCACCCTCTTCCAAAACAGTCAATACTGGATTGCTCTCGCTGCTGTTCTCATCATTATCAGCCTCATTGTCTGACGTAGGGAACGATCCTGACAGCAAGGTTACATGTGAAGAGATTGGTGTTTCCCGTTGTTTGGCATCATCGCCAAAGTTGCCTTCCAAAGGAGAACAATTGGGCTTGCCCCTGCTGTCGACGCTATTCTCAGCTTTGTCAGCCTCATTCTCCGCAGAGGAATTCACTGTTTCGTTCCACTGCATCTTCATGGTGTGGGCTATCGACATTATGTGGTCCATTAGATGAAGCACTGTCAATGTTTGTCGCGACAACGGAGCACAGTCGTGGGAAGTGGGAAAGAGACAAGCCTTCTTCCAAGCCAGCTAGGCTACACCGTACTATACCGGTACAGAGCCACACATTCTCTACTACTAGGACGTAGGCCTACCGTATCGGTACCAACCGTGGTCGACTTCGAGGACACGGATTTTGGCGACCATTGACATGGCGCAGAGGAGACTTATGTTCATACGGTACCATGTCATGCTTTAGGAGCGGGGGTCAAAGATGCACTCATTGCACTAATCTGATCAGATCAGTTACCAGAAAATTGACCATGGGGTTTTCCTTTAGGAAGGCTCACCAATCCCATCATGGAAGCTCATTCTCTGTGGGTGTTGGTGGTGCATTGAATACCACTTGATCCCATACTGTTCTCAAGTTGACTATAGCCAGCAGTGCTTTCATTTCAATATGGCAAAAGGATGAGTGTACTAGCTAGCTAGTAGTGGTACCTTATTGATACCGTGTTACCACTTTTAAGGTCCCCCCGTAACCATCTAGTCCCATTTTCTCGTGACTGGCCACTTTACTAGAGATTATCGCGTATTTTCGAAGAAAGACATCACCATGACGCTGCTGACAAGATGCTGCTGGATAATGGGCTGTGGTTGGCCAATCAAGCTGTCTGATGGTTCTCCGGAATCCTGAAGAGACACTCTCATTGGCCATGTGCATATTGACAGTCATCTCTGCACATACAATTGGCTGGTTGTTGTTGCAATGGCGGTAGTGAAAATCGACGAAAATCGCCATGTTGAATAGCAGCGGTAGGTAGCAAGCCCCACGCGAAGAGACCATTGTCAATATGTACATGCACAGGGAGAGGAGAATGTCAGCTTTCGATCGCTATAATGGAAAAGTCATTGGGCTACCGATTGAGTATTTACCAAACCTCATTGGCAAGGCCATCTTGCGATGGAATTTTCGCTCCATTTCCTGTTATCTCAGCATTTACCGCTGTTAGATGTAGCCAGGCCCATGCATGTTTCGGAAGGGCAGAATGGAATCCTGGTGTTCAGCATTGTCATTTTGGTAGTGATTGTACATGACGGATTTCGTGGGAGGATCATCCGTTGAGTTCTCACAACATGTCGAGCGAAAAGTTGCCGCGCATCGTGAAGAAACGGCCAATTCCAAAAGGAAAGCAGCAACAATCCACATTGTTAGGTGGAACCATGGCCAACATCAGCAATATCAACATCACCAATACTGACCAGGAGGGATACATCGCTGAGTCAGTCCGGTACCAGATTCTGAAGCACCACAATGATGCCTCCCCTGACTGGGTAACCGACATGATCCTCAGGAAGGAAGATGATCCCCCCATCAAGAAATTCGAGGAGGATGGTTATATGAGCATTCACGCCGATCGAGAACCGCGTCTGATTGTCATGGACTCTTGGAAGATCGAGCGCTCCTATGGACGCTCCAGCAATACGTTGAAAACAACTGTGTATGAAATGGTGCTGATGGATGGATCTGAGACACTTATCAAAGCCGTCACCAACAGTGGCCTGTCACTCCTGTTGAAGAATACCGGTGTCATAACTGGGTCAACTCTCATTATCAAAGACTTTGTAGTGCTCCACCACTCCACGGGAAATGACTGTACGTTCAAGAAGTGTCTCCTTTTGAAGAACTTCTCCTGGAAGCTACCTCCCGATCTACCAATCAAGGAACCAGTTGGAGCCGGAATTCAGCCCATCGCTCGCAGACTCACATATGCCCGCCAGACCAATGTTGTTGATACTGAAGAGAAGACCCCACACTCCATTTGTTATGATTTGACTGCCATAAGCAACTGCCGTCGGAGTGGAGAGATTGTCTTTACGCAGCCTGTTTTCTTGGATGAGAGTAATGTGCCAAGTCAAGACAAGTTAGTCAACGTTGGGCACGGGTATCAAGAATTCGCGTCTGGAGAATGGATCTTACATATGCCTACAAGAGGTGAATGGATTGATTTTGTCATGATGGAATGTCTTCCCAGCAATCGGAAGTTGTGGGTGGATCCAATGTGGCAGATCCCAGCAAGATTCATTGTTGACGGTGCTGATTCCGACGCCTCCTCTGTGCAGGAAGATCACTGTGAATGCATGAGCCACTGGGGCTTCGATCATTGTGTTGTCGCCATGGTTCCTCATCGTGTCTTGGATCTTGAGGGAATCTTCTTGTCTTGTCAACGTCGCTTCAGGAATGTGCAGGCGAACTCCTTCGATGAGCTCCTACCACGACACAAGCGCTGGTGCATTTACTGGTGGTATGCCGTGAACGTTTTCCAGATCCGTGCTACCCGTCGGCCACTCCCATCTTGCTTTCTGGAGGCTATTCGCAAACGATACAAGAACAACAATGATGAGCCGAACGTTGGCTTCCGTGCATAAGTGATCGCGTCGCTGAAAAGTACAAGCGAGGCATCGCTTGCTCTCAATCCATATGGGAACATCCGTTGCAAAAAGAAAAGAATGTTCTGTTCGCTGAAAACAATTGGCGATGTTGCAGTTTTTGCCGTAAGAAATGATTGTGTTAGTATCTAAAACTTAGTAGAGTCATATCTATTTGTCTGATCTACAATCTTTATACGTTTTAGAAGCTAGTTGTCTTCCGAGCAGTGAAGAATCAGTTTAGTTCGAATCTTCTAGCAAGTTGGCCAGTGCAGTTCGCTCATAGTCAGTCTCCGAGTCGGCGATCGATACCGCATCAATCATATCCAGCGTTTCAGATAACACATGTTCCTCGCTTAGGGTGGACTCGCTTTCATTCGTAGTTTCGCCTCTATCAAGGGGAGTGGCTGGCACGTCTTTCCCATAATATCTACACTGTTTCGAACGTTTGGTTTTGTGCCCTCGCATTCCACAAACTTTACAGATCGCCACTTCTTCGCCATGACCATCACCATTCTTCTTCATCCGTTGACCACTCTCGTAGTTCCTACCTTTGGCGATATCTTCCTTCACTTTGGCATGGTACTCCTTGAGCTTTGAGTAGATCCGTTCCATGCGCATTCTCTTCGAGGCAGTTGTCTTTTCTTTGCGAAGTTTCTCGATTCTGTCGGCCTCACGAACGTGGAGAGCGTGCAACGTACTATCACTCATTTCGATGTCAAGACTCTCGTACAAGGAGGAGAAGAACACATCCCAGCCAAGTACTGTCACAGCAATGGCCATTCCAACGCGGATCGGGAGTGAGAGTGTCCCAGAATATGTTTTGTTCTTTGGAGCAAACCACGAGATTGCATTGTTCATGCACTCGTTGACTTGGGTGTCAGAACCATGTGCGCACTCTTTCAACTTGTCCAACGTTGTGAAGTGGTCAAGTACAGGCTTCAGTAAGTTGTACAGATTCTTGTTCTTTGTCTTGCTTCTGTAAATTTTTTCTGACTTTTCCTTTTCCTCTGCTGTCTGGTTCTTTCTCTTGCAGAAGTCACCACAGAACTCGTGATTGTCAAAGTGATGCTCCAGAACAGCTTTGCCTCGATCAACGTACTCAGATTCAGCTGCATCCCTTAGCTGTCGAAGCATGTACACAAAGGACAGTGTCAGCCGGATGATGTCACCCTCAACAAGCCCATAGCTTTTGTACAAGCCAGGCTTCTTCATATCATACAGTTGGTTCCGAAGAGACTTCTTTCTGTGAGCAGGATCAGATGCCCACTTGGGAACAGGGATTGGATATCGGAGCCCACCACCCTTCCTTTTGATTGGCTTCGGACGAGTTTTCTCGTCCTTTGGCTTTGTGTATCCAACAATCGGCGTCGACGGTAAGTCGTGGTGTTTCTTGTAATCATCATTGGACCACTTTGTGTTTGCCTCCATTGCTGCGTCATCATCTGTAAGAACTGTCTCAACATGACACTTGTAATTATCCCACAAATGGTGTATCATATCTAGAAGAGAAGCAGGTTCCATGGAGCTTGCGCTGTCACGATGGTTCCGAAGACATGTGTGTTCTGGTACAGGAAGCTTCTTCCTCTCTCTGACTTCACAGAAGGAACAGTACCTACTCTTGACACTCCATCGAAGTGGCTTCCGTGTTATGAAACCAACTAGGAGAGCATGACCGCTAAGACTGTCATGTTTCCTGCCGCTACCTCCACGATTCTGCCAACCCATATCCATTGACACCCGTACATGTGCCATGCTGCATGTCGCTGGAAGAGGTGAGTTCTCTTCAACAGCATTCTTCCAAACTTCATAGTCGAAGCCAGTGACTTCCTCCATTGTTTTCTTCACCTCCTCGAATAATGTCTCACGTAGTGCTTCCTCCACAATTGCCTCAACATGTGGCCAGATATGTTCCTCAAGTCTCCGAAAAGATGTTTTCGCCATTGTGGTTGCATTCGCTAAACCAAGAAGGGCGCATATCCTTTCTGCTTCTCCTGGACCATCACCACATGCAGTGAAAGCTGCGACAAAACAGATATTGGTACTGTAGTCTCTGTTTCTGTATGTCTTCTTGTTGAGCTTCCTTGGTTCTTTTCCATATTTACTCAACTCAGGCTCCACCATTGTCACATTTCCACAACCACCGCAGGTAATCTTTGCTAGCGTGGCTACGCACACGTTTGTCAACTCAAGTTGAAGATCAGATTGCTTTCTGCATGCGGAACATACAGTGGCAGAGGAGATAAGGCTTTGCAAAGTGGACTTCTCCACTATAAAGCGGCTTGGAGGAGGTGTCTTAGTCACTCGAGCCGATGCAACCTTGTTAACTTGCTCAATTTCATCTTCTGACGATGACTCTGAGGATTCTGATTCTGTATCCGTTTGGGTGGATGACGGTTCTCCTTGACCTTCCACACTTTCCACTTTATTGTTGCTTTCTGCTGTTGGGGATGCCATTGGTGAGTCAATGCATTGCTTTTTGGATGGTGCTCCTTCAAGATATCGGTCAATGTTCCAATTATCATTGCCCCTCTTTCTATCGTGTCGGTTCCCTCCAGGAGCAAGCATCAACATCTCACGGCGCACCTTTGCATTAATCTGGTTGTTGCTACCAAAACCAATCACACTTTCGCCAGAGCTGAAAATGGCACTCCTAGAAGCACTTCTGGTGCCATGCTGCCTAGTTTGATGTGGTGTCACCAATGGCTGTGTTTGCCTTTCCCTGTCGGCCATGATTGGTATGGCAAATAGTGAGCCTTTCTCATTACAAACAAGGTACACGGCAGGCATGGATGAGATTGGTTACCTACAAACGCCTCTAACTGAAAAACCAATATTGCGAGAAATCTTGGAGCTGAGGTGCGAAATTCCCTCTTTT